GTCGAGAATTTGTGTCGCTAGGGATTCGAAGTAATTGGGCAAGAGGAATGGGAGAATGTATGTCAGCATGTGGAAAACTAGAACAAATTTATTATGAACAAAAAGGGATAATCAAAGACGCTATTAATGGTATTACAATTGAAGATAATGGAGTGGACAGCCGCAGCGGTAGTGAAGACTCGATGTCAGAAATCGATGGTCTGTGAGGAGTGGAAGAATTGGAAGAGGACCGAAGAGTTGTGTAGAAGATAAAATTAACTAACACTCACTGCAGTGTTAATCTTCTAGTGATGTGTAGCGCAGTGAAATCGAAAGCTTTGTAAATCTTCGTCACGTTTCGACACATATGGTGATCCATTGTCCGAGGACAAAGCAGGTCACGCCTGGTCACGCTTTGTCACGCGTGGTCACTAAGTCACGTTTCGGCACGCTTACGTTATGTAACTTAAGGCTCGGTTACTTTGCAATACGTTAGATGAAGTTACGACATGTTAGGTTAGGTTTGGTTAGGTTGGGTTAGGTTAGATTTGGTTGGGTTAGGGTAGGTTAGGTTAGGTTGTTTGCTTAGTGGATTTTGTTAGGTTAGGTAACGTCTTGAAAATTTTTGTGACGTTTTGACACTTATGGCCACAATTCGTCACGCCGTTATAATACGACACGCCTAGTCACGCTTCGTCACGCTTTGTAAATAGTAGTCACGATTCGACTCTTCTGGCCACATCTCATCACGCCGTTATAGTACGTCACGTCTAGTCACGCTTTGTCACGCTTAGACACACTTTTCGAATCTTCATCGTATTTTAACATTTATGGTGACCTGTCGTCGGGTCTTTATAGCAAGTCACGCCTAGTCACGCTCGATCACGCTTGGTCGCGCTTTGTTAATATTCGTCACGTTTGGTAAGTTCTGGCCCGATCTCGCCACGCTGTTACAGTAAGTCAAGCATAGTTACGCTTTGTCACGCTTGGTCATGTTTGGTCCCTTTTGGTCCCGCTTTGTAAATCTTCGTCACGTTTAAACACCTATGGAGATCCCTTATCACGAGGTCAAAGCAGGTCACGCATGGTCACTAAGTCACGTTTCGGCACGCTTAAGTTATGTAACTTAAGACTCGGTTACTTTTTGCTACTTTGCAATACGTTAGATAAAGTTACGACAGGTTAGGTTGGGTTAGGTTAGGTTTCGTTAGGTTAGGTTTGGTTGGGTTAGAGTATGTTAGGTTGTTTGCTTAGTGGATTTTCTTTGGGTAGGTAACGTTTTTAAAATTTGTGTGACGTGTTGACACTTGTGGCCACAATTCGTCACGCCTAGTCACGCATGGTCACGCCTTGTAAATATAAGTCACGATTCGACACTTCTGGCCACATCTCATCACACCGTAAGAGTATGTCACGCTTGAGCACGCTCTGTCACGCTTAGACACACTTTTCAAATCTTCATCGTATATTAACATTTATGGTGACCTGTCGTCATGCCTTTATAGCACGTAACGCCTAGTCACGCTTTGTCACTATTTGTAAATCTTCGTCACGTTTGACACATATGGCGATCACTTGTCACGAGGTCAAAGCAGGTCACGCCTGACCACGCTTGGGCACGCGTGGTCACTAATTCACGCTTCGGCACGCTTACGTTATTTTACGTAAGGCTCGGTTAATTTTGGTTACTTAGAATATGTTACATTAAATTTCGACCTGTTGGGTTATTTTAGAAATGTTCCCTCAGGTAGGGTTCTTAGTCGGTTAATGCACAGCATACACTGCGGCAGCGCTCTATTTCACATCAAGCGCTTGAAACACCATCGCAGGTGATTTTAATAGGGTGTGCAGAACTACGTAGCAAATTAGAAGACATTGAACATTCACATTAAATGTCCACATATATGTTTATTCTGTCTATGACCTGTTTCATATAAATTATGAAAATATCGGTACATTTTCATAGAAGTCGTTTAAATTCCAATTCTTGAACGTTCCTGGTCGGCGATTAGACAGAATACCACTGCGTGTGTGCGTACGTACGTGCGCATGTGTATATGTAGACCCACCACTGTATAACAAATTATATCACCGTAAAGGCGGAGTAAGAAACAGTAGCTTCTGGATGGAAGCAAGTGGTCAGCTTCACGACCCATTAGTGCCCGTTGGATAGGCGTCAGAGTGAGTCCTATAGACTGTCTGGAAACAGTTATGACAAGAAAAAAAAAAACGCGAACATTCAGCTACCTGTCCCTGCCCTCGCCATTTCATCCTCCGTCGTTGTTCAAAGAAGGGTAACATAAAATGCCAGAAACACTAACCAAACTTTCTCGTGGTTTTCCACAGAGCTCGCCCTATTCAGAACGATACCCGGTCGCAACAATGCGTGACGTCGCTCGACTGTGAATGAGAGACATGTCGCGAAACTTGAGCTTGGCTTTATCGTGAAGCCACAAAACAATGGGCGCGCGGCTCCTGTCGTCCAGCTGATATCGTGTGATGTGTTTCCCATATTGCGGCCTTTGCCATGTCATGTTCTTTATGTTACTTCGAAAACAAATCTGAATACATATCACTGGCCGCCTGTCCCCAAACCCCGCGGCCCTCCAGCGTCGTGCGCCTCTCCGTATTTCATTAAATATCACCAAATCATCTCCTTAGTCTCTCAAGGCATAGATACAGGGACTGTGCTATAAGGCCTTGATATCCGTTGTAAATTGGTTACTAGGAAATGCGACGGATACGAAAGTACTGGAAGTTGTGTTAAAATTACAATTCGTTACGGAAACATCATATAACTGAACATCGAACTACTTTTATGGCCAATAGGTACGAACAATCTGACTAATTTTATAACAATTTATTAAATAGGCACACATTCCATGTACAGAGAAAATTTTTAAGAAAATATTTGAAAAATGTTATTAACTAAAATTAAAGTGCAGACGTTAAGGAGTGTGACTCACGCGTCTTCTTGAAAAAAGAAACTAAAGTCGGTCGGATTCTATCCTTCTTTATTTCAGAGACGAATTCCTTGTAGCAGGGAAGACAGTTCCCACCTTTCTAACGAATGCTCGTCATCCGGCTTCAAAATCAGCAATAATGATCAATTTCGCTTCCAAATTCTTGGCTGCTCTTGACCTTTCATCTCTCTTAATTGACTATGCAGACACGGCTATCGATTTTATTGTAAAAACAAGTTAAAAAATTGTCAGTGTACTACTGGCTGGCGAAAAGATGGGAGTGCTGTCGGCAGACAGAAGCGTGCAGCGCGACTACAGGCTCTGTGGGTCATATTTATGAATGCCGAATAATTAAAAATCGACGATAAAGGTAACCGACTACGCATATGAGGACCGACTGGTTCGGAGTGGACGGATAACGAGGGCTTATTCTACCGGAAACAGGCTGTGACCATTTGCTTTGGAAAGTCTCCTACTATTTATGATCATCTTCCCAGCTCATCTAATGTTATGTAAATTTCTGAAGCTGAAACAATGTCTTTACATTATCTAAGAATAAACACTGACACCAATATCATCAGCGCTATAACTGAATCTCACGTGATACGGCGATGAGTATGAAGATGACTGTCCGACCTGATCGTTTATGTACATCAACATTTTCACACGCGGCTTACTTTTTCCCTGATGATGGAGACAGCAAGTTCCTCTGAAATGTCGGTCCATATCTACCAGAATACACGATACAACATCTCAGAAGGCAACATTATTAAAAATAATTTAGTTTCATTAAAACATTACAAAGTTATATCTGCATACACGAATTATAACGACTAAACCTAGAATTCATTAATGCGCGTGATAAAGAAGATATAAAAACTGCACAACAAATAATTTCATTTCATTGCAAACAAATAAAGAGCGATTACATGTCGCTGTCTGTTTAACTCCGTCGCTAGAATGAATACGAATGTGACGACTTGGTAACTCGATCTGGGGGAGTCACTGTTGTAGAGTAGCTGACCAGGGTTTTGTACCCCTTGTGTGTCACATCTATCAACGGGAGCGCATTAGACGCGCGGGTCAGCGGCTGATGAGCAAACATAGCCTGCCGTCCGCCCGCCACTGTGTGTTCATCAAATATAGTCCTCCCCCCACCCCCAACCATAAGTATTGCCAGTGCAAAACAAAATCGAGCAGATCGGGCTGGAGTCCACAGTCCGGCTCACTGTTTGTCAGAACATCATTTTCAGATAAATCTTCTTCACCTATCACATATTAGGTCTTCTGGCGTCCTTCAAGTCAGAAGTAATTTTGTAACTTTATACCCTCCGATATGTAGTATGACTTCTTAGACAGGAGTTCGACCCTCCTCAAGGCCTCTTACCTACACAACCAGGAACAAGCAGTCACACGCCATTAACACAAAAGGAATTCAAAGCCGCAATTCCAGTATTCAATCTCTCGGAAACGTAAGCGCTTTAAACCATGCGATCATTGTAATAGACCGAAAAGTAATGTTAACATAAAGTGAAATTAACAATTTTATACAAAGATTAAGTGTGCCCGCAGCGTTAACTACGGAGTAATTTAACATCGACCGCATTCTTACATACTACAGATCAATAATATTGCAAGACTAGAAACGTTCAATTCACAAGAGCAAAGCATAAACAATTTAATGAAAGTATTAAAATGCGCTAATCTGAGACACTCTGGCTAAGAGTGCCAACACGTAGTTCAGAAATACGCACTAGGAATCATATCTATTTCTTTCATAAATTTTGGTTCAATCTGAAATGAGCAAAATCACCCCAAATCCAAGTCAATATTTCCGCTGGTATAAATATATGTTCATCTTATAAAACGAGATCTAAGGTTTTCAAGGCGGCGGGAATGTGGACTGTGTTCTTTTCTGTCAAAACGTAGTCCTAGGTGGTGTGATGTGTGTAAAATAAAGGATGGTGTCTAGAGCTGCCGATAATAACGAGTTGTGACAAGGCAAGGTCTCCTGTCGGTTGTCTATTATGTACGTACATAATCCAGAATGTCTCTTACCTGGCTGCCTCAGATGGCTGTGTGGGTCCAGCGAAGTCTTTGACATTCCGCCGAGTGTATTTGTTGCATAACCTGCAGGCAAAAAACACAAGTATGCATAAAATAGAGTTAACACTTGGCAAATGACATTCCTGGTGTAATCCAGATTATAAATTCATTTCAAGAACCAAGAAGATTGGAAAGGCATACTCTTTGGTGAACACTGATATTCCTAAGATTTTATTCACGCCAGATCACGTAGGCCGTTATTGTGCTAATGCGATTCGAGATGCACGTCTCGGGCCATTACTGCGCTGTGATCCCAAGTCCCTGTTGCGCTATATGCTAGACATATTGGACGACGAACATTAGCTCTGCACAATTAAAACCAAATTCTCCAGGGATCATGACAGAACCTGTTTCATCAGACGGAAAGGAGGTTGCTCTGACCGACCATGTTTTCACATCCTGTCTTCTGCAGTGAGCTCAATTGATCAGAATGTCAAAATCTACTGCCAGAAACCAGTCAGTCTGACTTCAATAGGAATGCAGCAGGTAGCCCCATAATATACAGGCCGCTAACACGATGTTTTTAATTTTTAGATGACCAAAATATGTAACACAAGTGACAGAATTTAAAAATCCACAAAAAAATGTTAGATAGAAAACTTGAAAGAAAAATAAAACTTTGGATATCTAGGAGCAGATTAAATTACACTGTTAAAATGAGTCTTATGAAAACATGTTAAATAGAACCAACTGGTTCATGATAATGTCACACAGCGGAGTTTAGTGAACACGGAGATAACATGCAGATTCCAAGAAAATTTCTTAACATCTAAGCGACTAAAAGCTGTTTAAGGAACACTATCCTCCACGTAGTAATTCAGTAATAACGGTAGGTTCGGCACTTAGTAAATCTTAGCAGGTTACAATATCAATTTTTGGTCTCAGAGATTTTTACCCGTGTATACCGCGGTACGCTCAACAGAGCAGAAGCAAGCTAGAATGAAAATGTCAAATAAAAACAAGTGCATGACGACGGCAGGAGCATCTAGGCGCGTCGCGGCGCCGGCCGCAGTGCCAGAATGTCCCCGCCCTTCAGGAAAGGAATCTCTTGTCCTACACTCGGTCGACTGGGCAAGCTAAACAGCGGATCGCGTCCAAGACGCCAAATTTGCGCCCTGAAGTGGGTCTGTGTTTACCAGTTGCAGGGGAGAGGGGAAGATGACGTCAAGTTTAAAGTGCTCCAGTGAGACGAGGGGAACTGCACAAAGCTTTTGTTTTTGTTCTGTGCTTCAGAAGAAGGTTGTGACGCGTGTTACATAACCTGCGTGAACTCATGCTTCAATTTATTCCTCTCCTTCTTTTCTGTCTCTTTATTGCTATCTCTCAATCTTTTCTTTCGACCCTCGACTACACTACCCGGAAGGAAGTTAAGGAGGAAGGAAGGAAGGAAGGAAGGCAGGAACAAGAGAACAAAATGGACAAGTGCATAATAGTTTAGAAATTGCAAAGAATGAAGGCGGAAGAAGACGTTTATGACATCAAAGTGTTTCCAGGATGCAAGTAAAACTGCACGGGCAAGTACAGCTTAAGGCTCGAGAGCAACAGTGCGAGATTAAAGAGCACAGAAACGCAGACTATTCAAAGTACCGAAAACTGTTACTACCGAATGACAAAGTAACAAAAGTACAGAAAGATGAATAATTATTGCTTGAAAATAATAAAAATTCTGCAACCTGACAACGATCAGTGCATCCGTATCCCAACTTACAAACTCACCAAACGCGTTTTCAAAATTTGTTTAGTAGGTTGGAATATGCGGCAGCCAAGCTGACGCTCATTTGCATACCTCCGCCTTATTTTTTTAAAAAAAAGCACGTCTTAAAACTGGCAAGTTTATGGAACATGTGATTGCATTACATTTCCCTTGTCCAACGGATCCTGGACCTCGCGACAGCAATTAGGCCTCAGATAAATTAAGCGGAATGATTCGGAACATATTTTGAAGCGGTACAATTTCGACAAATTTCTTGAATATCAGTGGGCCTACTTGCCACGCGTAGTCTATCTTTTTTATAATATCAAAATAGATTATAGTTAGATTAGAATTAGGGTAGGACAAAGGCTATCCTAACTGAAGTACTCTATTGTTTTCCCCAGTCCCCCCAGACAAATGTCGATATAATACATCGAAAAATTTTGCAACCAATCCATCCCAATTAATTTATAAGCACCACACATAATAACTCACTGCAAAAATCTTCGCGATCAAAACACCGCTGTTAGATTATCGTTCTTGTCGCCATCCTACATACTCGTCAATGTCCATGTCATCGTTACTTTCTTTGGCTGAGTAATTTCGTCCAGTTCTGATTTCTTCTCTTTCTCGTGGCACTACAGCCAGACTCTAAGAAAGCCCACTCCATTACAGAGACAATTTAATTCGTACATGAAACAGGATTCCCTGGATGAGGATCAGATCATGACAAGGCCTTTTATCTCCATACGACAACAAAGAAAACTTGTACATAAATCCGACCACTGAGCGGGATTCAACCCCCAATCCCAGTGTGTAAGGCAGCACAGTCACTGGAAATGGCGCTTAATTGGGTTACTCTAACACAGCATAGTTAGCCGCCCAAATTAGTGATTTACTTTGCATTTGGAAGCATGGATCCTACATGTACACATGCATAAACTATGATAATATTCCTCATGTTGTTTTCGAGATTGAACCCTATAATATTTCATTATATGATGTAGACTAATTCTCATCGTTTTAGAGTGAGTAATACTTGACAAATGTGTAATGTTCTCTAAACTGAGTGGACAACCGCAAGGTTGCAGACCGCAATAAGGAGGTTGGGCAACAATTTCAATGCTACACACTTAATAAACTTAAATACTGACATTGCACTGCCTTGCTGACTCTCCTTATATGATCCAGGTTCACGCAAATATTAGTATACAAGTACATAACAAGTATTTTGTGGACCTCAAAAACTTTCATATAAGAATATTATGTCTCAGTCATTGCCAAGAATGTATTTTGAATGCTTAAATATCTTGGACCTTAAAATCAATTAATGTCAATAAAGCTCAAATATGGTGATACTCATATAGCAAAGGTCAAAAGACTAAAATAATTTAGACGTATATACGTGTAAGCAGCCTATAATTAGGTCCATAAGAAGTCGCTAAAACGTAAAATATTCTGGAAACCAGACTTTAACTGGAAGTCTGACATAGAAGAATGCTGTTCGATGTCTGTGAATTTCGAACACATGTGCATAATACAAACATTCCACTTAAAGTGGATTCATATGAAAACATAAACAGATGAAAAAAGAATAATTCAATTGTGCTTTCACGCAAAAACAACTAACACCCAAACGTTTAATTTAAACCAAACCAAAAACGAATATGAATTGACCAAATTTAGTAGGTGTACCAAACTGAGTTTTATCTAAATCGGTTCAGTAGTTTGGGCGCTGTTACTTAAGGGCAATCTCACAACTATTAAAAAAAATTGTAAACTATTGCTAAATGTGAATAAACGCATTTGATTCAGAATGTCGCAGATTCCGGTTAAGAAACAATGTTTCAAATAAGGAATATAGAAATCAATTCGGCGGGAATATAGCTGGACATATTTAACACCAAAACACATAACTATTCCGTATGTATATTAATTCCAGATAAAAGAGACGTAGGCGTTCCAAAATGGTGAAACAAATCATAGCGTTCCTAAACCGCGACAGGAGACAGAACAGAAGCAAATTTAACAAGTTCCGAGTGAATTTCCCCGATGTCTAGCAGTGACAGCGGAATCTGGGCACGGCATGTGGTCTGGGTTGGAGGGTATGATGTACCGGCGTTCTCTTGAACAAATCCAATCTCGCGGTGGCAGTGATGATAGCAAAAGAGAAGCAGGGAACACAGAGAAAGGGATTTTTTTGTGTATATGTGCTTGCCACTTTGTGATGACGATGCCTTGTGTGCGTCGTGACGCCTCAAGCGTCATCAGCGTCGCTTTGATACAGTGCGAAAGAGACGGCGAGTAACTGAGATAGAGCGGTGGTGGGGTGGGTGTGGGGAGGTGCTTGCCAGAGGCGTTTTGCGCTTTGCTGTACAGTTGGAGGGGGAGGGGGGAGACAGTGATAAGCTAAGTTCACACTTTGTGTTCACTCAGCTAGTGTTTGTTTGCAAAATGCCCATGGCTCTCTTCTCTTCCAGCAGAAACACGCTCTTTGATCCCGTGATCGCTGGAGCTTGCACTAATTTGTGCAGCGCACCAACTGTCGAAAGGCTTATCTACCACTACACGACATGTAAGTTACCCCACCATGTGGAAACTTATTTGGAGCTGGTCATTCGGAAAGGAAGTTAGTTATCTGAGCCTCTCTCTCTCAGGTATTGCAGACATTTAACAGTGATTCAAACGCCCGTTTTCCTATTCTTATTTTCAAATAGTCCCTGATATTGGTTGCTCAGTCCCAGCATCGTCTGTGTGGCGTTTGTGGTCGGAAAAGTGGACTTGCCAGGCATCGTTCCATGTCATCGCAACTAAGGTGTTCGACAGGCTCGACCAGCCAGCATTACAATACTACTTCAGTCTTTACACGGTTGAAGACTGCCCTGCCTCATAGAAGTGGAAGCTGGCTTCAACTGCCCTGCCTCATAGAAGTGGAAGCTAAAGGCAACAAGGTACAGTCTGTTCACCAAGCATCACGCCATGAAACCACAGTATTTTCAGACATTACATCCGAACAGACTAAGACCTCAAACAGCAGATCCTTTACTAAGTACAAGGAAGAAGAAACAGCATATAAAAGAAGTAAAGATCTACATAAAGAGGCGAGAAAACGCAGAAAGAAAGAAAGAAGAAAGATAGTAACCGTAACAAATTTATCAGTTTTTGTGTTTTGTATTTCCAGAGAATTTTCCCATCACTCCTTCCTTCCCTCTTCTTTAACTAATCGTCGATCGGCTTTGTGTCTGTTCATCTGTCCGTACGTTTCGTCCCACTATCTGTTCATTCACTCGATTATCCAGCCAACGACAGGTTATTTCTGCATCGTGGTGTC